CACAATTCATTTTCCCCTTTTTCGTTTGTGGTTGGTTCTGTTATGGTATATCTTTATTCATTATATATTCATTAAAACTTATTCACTTTATTCAGTGGTCTCTCGTGTTTTCTCACCTCATTAAGTGTTATAGTGTGGCGTGTCTGAGATGGTTATATGTGTTCCTCTCCTAAAAGCCCTAGACGGGTACGATGATTTCAGCATGAGGGAAAAGAAGTGGGGGGAGAATGGGGGGTCAAGGTAAAAGATGTAGATTTGAATGATTCTGGGGCAAGACTTGCGTCTCGAATGGTGCACAAGAGTGAGTTCAAATGGTAATTTACTTGGTTTTCTCAGAGAGTAGCCCTTTCTTACAGTTTTTCGAAACTTACAGTGCAGCCGACCCTCAGGGAGGTATAGGAAGGGACCATCCTGGTGGTGTTGGGGAGGATGGAGGGGAATGAAGACATCATCATCTGTGAACTCAGAGGTGTAAGTTTCGATCTTTTATACTACAAGTATTTAGAGCACGATTGGACAATGAGAAGGTAATCGTGACGTAACGATTGCGTCTTCCCGGCAGAACTTACGCTAAAGCTTTAATGTTGATCTTTTCCTATCTTGTTTGAACTCTATTTGTTTAGTATATTGTCAAAGGTAATCAGGTGGTGGTTTGGAAAGTGAGAAATGCTGAGTTCGACACTGTAGAATCATAAAATACTCTTAGATTCACTACAAAATTACAGTGGTATTCAGGGACAGCATTAAGTTGGTTTAGATCATATCTATCAGACCGTTACCATTTTGTCTTTATTTAATTGGGGAAAAATCTAAGATAATGACAAATTATGGAGTGCCGCAAGGATCTGTGTTAGATTCTAAAAAGAAAGAACTTTTTTGGTCTGGTTCTCAAGGGAGCACCTGGGGCCTGTACCATGATGGTAGTTGAACAAACTCAGGGTTACGGGATTAGTTTTGAGTTGACAAAACCAAACCAAATCCAACTAGGCTTTGTTGGTACCATGATGCTGATCATCAACTCTCTCTGTCAGCTCAGGCTTTGATTCTGAGTTTAGAAGTTTAGGTGTGACATCACAGCCAATCACATGCTGAGGAAGAGTGAAACCGCGATTCATTTCTCGCGAGAGAAGCAGTGAGATTCACTTCTCACTTTTACAAGAATATTACAAGATTGAAAAATATTAAGAATTTAAACAAATTTACACAGCAAGAAGAAAATAGCTTTCTATGAAAGAGGATAACTAAAAAGTCTTGCTATATCAGTGCAAGTAAAAGCTGTGAAGTTAGTTTATACAGTTGATAAAGGTAAAGAGAGAATTGAACATTTAAGCTCACATGTAGTAATTGTATAGTTTCTATATATTCTAAAGCATAATCATATTACTTTGATATATTTATTAATTTAAACTGTGCATAATAAAAATTGTACATGTGTGATTGATTAAGGTTATAATAATTACATAAATAATATCTAAATCATACAACATTTTTATTCTAAATAAGTATTAGTAAAAGCCAGACAATTTTGTCTTCAAAAATCATTTGCCATGTAGTGACCTTAATTTGGAGTAGAAACAGGTGCAGTGACTTTATCCTATCAGACATGTCGCTTTGCTCACAGCTGATTGGTCCAAGTTCAGTTTAAGATCTCTTACCTGGAACATAACCTGACCCGGACCAGGTTAGCCGTCATCCAGATCGGTGGTAGCAGCTTCAAAAGCAGAGTTTAAAAAAATCCTTGTTAGTGAGGAGAAAAAGTTCGTCCGTTTTGTTAGGAAGGGATCAGAGATTCGCAAGATGAATTCTGGGTAGAGTAGTGCGGAGGCCGCACTCACGGAGTTTAACCAGCGCTTCCCTCATTTGCGTCTGAACAACACCGCTGCCCCTCCGACGAGAATGTCCAGCAAAACGTCAGAATAATCATAAACTGTACAAAAAGTTGTCTGGTATGTGTTTCCTAATGTCCAGTAGCTAATCTTTGGTGAAACTGTGAAATTATATTAGGCATTTAAAAGCTTTATAGAGAAATTTAAAAAAAAGCCCCAAAAGCAATTATAATACCTGGATTTTAGATTTAGATTGATGTAAATTGACGACAAAAGTTTAATACTTGGTGAAGCAAATACAAAAAGTAAAAGTGGATACAAACGAGACAGATTTCTATTGACTAACACGATAGCAAAGCATCTCAAGAGAATAAAAGTGAAGAAGGCCAGTTTCAAACCCACATGACAGTGTATCTTACATCTGTGTTTTCTAAATACACTAACAGGACGAATAACTAGTTGGTTTACAAACGATGAACAAGTTAAAAATAAACCAGCCTCTTCTTCAGCTTCTTGAACGAGAACAGTTTGAACCTGTAAAAACCTTCTACTTTCAGTTACATTTAGTCATTTACAGACGCGTTTATTCAAAGCGACTTACAAATGAAAAGGCAAACAAAGCAAGTGTTCAAAATACAAAGTTCCAGACATTGCCTAGAGTAGCATAAGCCAGATAAGGGAGGGATTCAAGGAAAAGGAAAGATTTTTTTTTTACTTTTGAGGTTAAGTGCTAACGGAAGAGATTCATAAAAAGTGTAAACAGAACTAATAGACAAAAATAAAGCTTTGAGTTGAATCACTCCGTTGAAACTGCTGGTCTTGAAGATGAGGTTTATTCACTGACAAATTAAGATGATGTTTCTTTGTTCTGCCGGTCATCGTGGCTGGTTAGGGCAGATTAAGAGGTCATTTACACAACACCGTTTCAACTAAAAACTTTTATTGCGTTTTGGCCGTTCATTTACATGACAACAGTGTTTTGGGGGCCTGAAAAGTGCACGTTTTTAAAATAATACCGTCTTCACCTCCATGTAAACTACAAGACCGTGAATCTGTGAAAAACGGTAGTGTCACACAAATGTGTATTCTGTGTTTAGTCTATAGATGCGTAGTGTTTCTTTACAAAGTGACATCGCAAACTACTGGTCTGGCAGCAGAATACAGCGTTTTTAGTCATTTTCGTGGATCCGTGTGAATGGGAATCATTTTGACAACATTTTTGTCTATGTTAGCCTGGTTAAAACCAGACCATTCTCAGTTGTAACTAGGGCTGCAACAACTAATCGATAAAATCGATAATAATCGATTATGAAAATCGTTGTCAACGAATGTCATTATCGATTAGTTGGTCTGCTTACGTCACGGGGAGCGTTTACTGGTGATTGGTTGAAACAGGCCAATCAGGATGCTCTCTGTCTTACACGCGCTTCATGAGGCACACACGCAAGGTCTCTCTCCCTCCGTTGCTCTGCCGCGCGCGCTCGCGCTACACAGTTTGGAGCACAGTCTCTTCTGTCTCGCATGCGCGCTCTTGCTTGTGCGCTCAAATCCCGGGAGTTTGAACTAATTTGCGAGCCGCTATCAATATGCGGGTGACTTCCAGAACTTCCGGGAGACTTGGGATGTCTGTATTTTGCGTCTCGAGCATCAGGTTGCCCAATCAGTTCGCTCGCAACATAAGTGATGGATTAAAATAGTGCTACCGCAGAAATATTAAAATTAAAACGGCCTTTACAAAGCGAAGCACTAAATATAAAGGCAGTTAATAACAGCAGCAGTAAATTATTGTTTTTTAGTCACTGTACTCAGTGGTTTTCAGCGAATGTTTGTGCACTAATGCATCATTTTTCCTGTCTTTTTAATCAAGCCTGTTAGCTTGCTGCGTACCTCCACTCCGCTCTCTTTATATAGCATTTGTCTACTATTAAGTTTTAATTGTTTTTCAAACGCGATCTACTGCGGCTCTATGTTCACACGCTTGTTTTCAGTCTTTCTATATTTATTTTTACAAATTATCCTTATAATTCAATTAATTTTAAATAAAAATTAAATGAATTATATATTTGAGATGTTTTTAGTTTATATCTTCACATCTGAACAACATGTCTGTAAATTTGTTTTAACAAAAATTGTGTTAAAACAATATGTTGGAAAATGTTTTTTTTTTTACAATAATCATGGTTGTCAACTTGCCATCAGCAATTATCATTAAAAACAATGGAAATATTGATATTTGTAAAACTCAATGTGTGGCTTTTGCACTTTTTAAAGTACACTTTTACACTTAAATATCCTGATTTAGGGTTTTAGGTAACACTTTATTTTACGGTGTCCTTGTTACATATGTTACATGTACTTACTGTAGTAATAACAGTAAATTATGCATAATTACATGCAACTAACCCTCAACCTAATCCTACCCTATTCCTATAGTAAGTACATGTAGTTACTTAATATTACTCTGTACTTAAATATATAATTACACTGTAACAAGGACACCTTAAAATAAAGTGTAACCGGGTTTTATTTAGTCATAATAAACAAAAAATCTAATTGAATTTTTATCAGATTAATCGATTAATCGAAAAAATAATCGTCCGATTAATCGATTATCAAAATAATCGTTAGTTGCAGCCCTAGTTGTAACTGAGTTATGGTCTGGCAAAGCATCATAGACAAATAATTTCCAGAGGGGCGTCACCAACGGACGTCGCGGATAGACCTAAACCCAATCAGAGCGATGAAGGAAATGACGTATGCAAAGCGGCGGAGAAACATCTCCGAGTGTTGTTCTTTGCTCGGTTTTTAACTAAAAGGAAACGTTCAAATCGCCTTAAACAGACGCGATAGCTGATTCGAACGAGTGATGTTCGACGGTGGCATCCATCTTTGTAATGTAGGCTACAAAATCTGCTTCAAAATCCCAGCGCTGTCGTCATCGTGTAAAGCCCGCCCCAACGTTTCTGATTGGTGCCTCGATTTCGGCGGATTGGAAATGGGCTTGAATGAGCTCTTTGCCAGACTAACTTTCAGAGCAAATCTAAATTTGCCGGAAGTTGTCTGGGTTTTCCCAGGCTATGTGTATGTGCAAAAACACGGAAACATTTTTCAGTTTTAGTACATTGTAGTTGTGTAAACATACCCTCATTCTGAAGAGATTTTATTGCTCTGCGGGATCTGAAGATGAACTAATTACTGTGATTGTTTTTTATATGACTGTGTAGAGCAGATGATTGGCTGAAACTCTTCCCACATGCAGTGCAGTGATACGGTTTCTCTCCAGTGTGGATCCTCTCGTGTGATTTCAAGGTTCCTGACTGATTGAATCTCTTGTCGCAGTGTGAACACTTGTAAGGTTTCTCTCCAGTGTGAGTCCTCTGGTGCAGTTTCAAATGTCCAGCTCTAACAAAACTCTTCCCACACTCAAAGCACACATACGTTTTTTCACCAGTATGTATTTTGTGATGTAGTTTTAAACAGTGCAGAAGTGAAAAACTCTTTCCACACAAAGAACATGAATGTGGCTTCTCCTGTGAATGGACTGTCAGGTGGATCTTCAGGCCTGAAGCCCTCAAAAATGTTTTGCCACATTGGTCACATTGATGGAGTTTCTCTCCAGTGTGGATTTTAATGTGTTCCTTAAGTGTCCCTTGTTGTGTAAAACTCATCCCACACTGATCACATGTGAACGGTTTCTCTCCAGTGTGGATCCTCGTGTGAATCTCGAGACTCGGTTTCCATGTGAAACTCTTTCCACACTGACGGCAGGTGAAACATTTCTTGTCTCTTCTTTTCAGTAAAGAAATGCTTTCAGTCTGTGAGGGAGTTTTTTCTCCAGTTTTGACATGATGTTTCTCCTCCTCTTCACTCTCCTTATTCTCCAGGATCAGGCCTGAGATTAAAGGAAGAAAGTTACATTTTAATAAATCCTTCTACATGATAATTTTGATGCATTTTTATACATCTCTTTCCATGAACAAATACATTGATCTTCCAGTTATTAATTTTAAACTTAATAGGCACAAACCCCATGTTTCTGTTGTGAGATCTATTAAATATTTAAATCAACTCCACAATTATCTTACATAATATTAACATTAAAAAACAAATTTAATAGTGCTACAGTTCTGTCTCAGATGGATATTTAATTTATTTTAATGCAAATGTTCTAATTATGAGTCAATGTTAAATGAACAATTAATTAGCTGCCCAACATTTTTCACTCAAAACAATTCCCTTCCTTAAAAAAAAAAACCCAAAGCATTTCTTAAAATTGCGACACCCAGGAAGTGACATCATTTGATCTCTTTCTAGAGTATGATGGGTATGATGAGTATGATACTCTCTCTGTGTATATCTATGGCATTGCTGTCCAGGAGTAATTAGCTTTTAAAGTGGATTTACTTAATGTAAAGTTAACGAATGTTATCATGAGGATTGTAATGTTTAAATTAGATGTCTTAAATGTCAGTAGACCGGGAAGATTTTAAAATGAGCTGTTCATTCATAAATACTTAAGATCGCTGTGAAAATACAGACCGTAAGACAAGAGACAACTAGCGCAGCGCTGAAAAGGGGCGGGGCTACATAAGGTTTATAAAAGGTCCAGTCCCTCCACCGTCACTTCAGGTGTGCCCCAGGGCTCTGTCCTGGGGCCCCTACCTTTCATCATTTATCTCCTTCCCCTGGGCAATATATTTCGCAAATTTAACATTCAATTCCACTTATGCTGATGACACCCAGCTCTACCTCTCGACCAAACCTTCGTTCACTCTCCCACCCACCTCCCTCACTGACTGTATCACGGAAATAAAAACCTGGTTTTCCCAAAATTTTCTCAAATTAAACAGTAATAAAACTGAGGTTCTCCTCATTGGCACTAAATCTACTTTATCCAAAACCGACAGTTTTTCACTCACTATTGATAACTCCTCCGTTTCACCCACCCCCCAGGTTAGGAGTTTGGGTGTCATCCTTGACAGCACATTATCTTTTCAGCCCCACATCAATAACATTACCCGGTCTGCCTACTTCCATCTACGAAACCTTAATCGGCTTACACCACACACTGCCGCCTTGTCACTTCCCGTTTGCAACTCTCTCCTTTTCGGCCTCCCTCACAAATCCTTTCATAAGCTTCAACTGGTCCAGAATTCAGCTGCCCGCATCATAACTCGAACCCCCTCGATTCACCACATCACTCCTGTTCTCCAACAGCTTCACTGGCTCCCGGTCCAGTTCCGTATCCAATTCAAAATCCTTCTGTTAACATTTAAGGCCATCCACAAACTTGCCCCCCCATATTTGTCTGATCCCTCCAGGGTCCAACATCCACCTGCTCCCTTAGATCCTCTAAACCTGTCTGTGTATGGAGGAAGCCGCTCTGCTCCCCGTCTCTGGAACTCATTACCACCCCAACTCAGAAACATCGATTCATTCTCCCATTTAAAATTGCAACTCAAAACACATCTGTTCAAAACTGTCTATCTCACTTGATATCAATTGCTCTGCCTCTTTCTGTTGTTTTTTAATGTTGTTTACTTATTTCTGGTGCTTTTAAATGTCTTATGTATCCCTGTACGGTGTCCTTGAGTGCAGAGAAAGGCGCCTTTAAAATAAAATGTATTATTATTAAAACAGGTTGATTGATTTATGCTAAATCTGCCATTCTCGATATTGTTTAATTTTGGTGTGTTTAAAGTTCGAGTAAAAAAAACAAGTAAAATGTGAACAAAATATTTATTCCCCGATAATATTTAACGATTAAACTGTTTCGTAAGGTTTTTTCCTACTACAAATACAGAATCTGATGATCTGCTTTATAACTTTAATGTTCTTCAGCCTCATTAAAAGGCACAATATGTACGAATTTTAGATTAAAATATCCCAAAAACACTAAAACAGTGTTATTTTCTGACTTTGTGTACTACTTACATAATCCCAAATGTTTCCAACAATGTCTAAATCTAGAGAAATCTGCAATTCTACATTAGCTCATTAACATGATTTCTGCCTGAGTCCCGTCGGATTGTATTTAGGGCTGCAACAAACGATTATTTTGATAATCGATTAATCTAACGATTATTAGAACGATTAATCGACTAATCATCGATTATTCCGAAGACTAATCAGTAAGTTTGGAACGATTATTTAGCTTTTCTAATTAGTTAAAACATTGAGTTATACATATTCTAACTATCATATAAAAGAAGGAAATCACTTCAGCTTTTGAAATAGTTGTTTTAATGAACTTTGAGCCAACTAAACAGGTCATTCTCTTTAAGTTTTCAGATTTCGGTCCAACTCAAATCACACACAAATGCTCTCTAAGCATTGTTTAATAGGCCCACTGCTTTTCTTAGAACTGAAACAGAAAAAGGGACATTTACTTCAGGACACAAAGAATGGTAAAATATTAATCTGCAAACAATTATTATAAGTATAAAATTACAATCTTTTTTTACATGACAATTGAGCTGACAGAGACGTTCTCATTCACCTTTTAATTTACAGTATGAAAAAGTAACTGCCATGATATTCTTCCTATATCATAAGTCTCGTTTTGTAAGTCTTCATGATTATTGAAGCAAAAAAAGCAAATGAAAAGACTATAATAATACTGTTACAATAATAAAAACAGCCCTGACTCGTAAGCTCGATCAAGCTTTATTCTGTGCAATAGAATAAATAAGTCATCACATTACTGTAATTATATTACTATTGATAATATTATTACTATTATTAGTAGTATTGCATTCTCTAATAAAGAGATTTACCGCTGGTTAGTAAGCTCCAGCTGGAGAACACTCTCCTCTCACCGGCTCCTCTTGTGCCGGGATGTTTCCTCTTGCACACATGCATGTTGTGCTCCCGTGAAAAGCAAGTTCCGCCTTGCATGTATTGCACACGTCAGCATTCTTGATTTTAAGTTTTGTGAAACTTTACCAAACCTTGCTAGTAGTGTTGTCAAAAAACTCGGTACTAAAAAAAATTAACGGTTACGGTACCAGCTTTTCTAGGTACCGAGTACCGGGTTAATCCGGTTCTTGATGCGCTGTCCGAAAGGTGCAGAGTTGCGTCCTCTTCATAAAAACACTGAGACATGGCGACCGGCGGCGCTGCTAATGCCTTGGCTCTGAATCCACTTGTTGACAAGAAAGGAGGAAAGAGCCACATATGGAAATATGTTGAATTAGGCTAATGTCACGTTGCCATAAAGGGCCGGTCACACGTTCACATAGCACGTTTTTTGCGCGTGCAAATTTCAAATGTAGGCGCGCGGGAAGCGCGCTCATAATAGAAGCGACGTGCGAGCTTGTTTTTCCATGCGCGTCACTGTTTATGGTTGCATAGCGGAGACACGCGAGAGCGAGCGCTTGTGGAGAGAAGGAGAAAGCGGTGCAAACTGCGCTCCCCGTGATGACGAGGAAGTATCAGCAAAGAATTAATTGATTTCTAGCCCTTGCATTAGAAATCAGCTACAGGGTTATCAAGTTTTGAAGACAGGCAAGAGTGACATTTTTGGCAGTTTTGGATTAAATAAAAGTAGGCTACAGTTAAGTCAAATAAAACATGTTCTATCTCCTGTATAGTTTGGTAACACTACAATAAGATACCATTCATTAACATTACTTAATGTGTTAACATCAACACATTGAGTGAACAATATATTTCTGCAACATTAATTAATGTTTGTGAATGTTATTTAATACAAACACTTGATTGTTCATGTTTGTTCACTTCATTCATTGTGCATTAAATAATGTTAACAGATAAAACTTTTGATTTTAAAAATGTATTAGTATATTTTTAAATTAACCCCAAGGAGAATAATTGCTACAGTATATAACTATGGTTTATTGTTAGGTAATTTTATCTAATGTTATCTAACAAATATATCTTATTGTAAAGGGTTTTTAATACTACAGTTTCCATCTTTGTAACTGTGATATACACTTTAATATATGTAAATTTTATCTAAATTAAGCTTTTGGTACCGAAATTGGTACCGAGAACCGTGGATTTTCACTGGTATTGGTACCGAATACTGAAATTTTGGTACCGTGACAACACTACTTGCTAGTTCGGATTAGTTTGCCCTGTCATAATTCGCGCAGTTTATTCTTCTACCGCAATAGCATTTGTAAGGGCTGCACTACACTAGCGCTACAGCGCCGTAGCGGTCAAATCGCGATATTGCAGGCCCTTACATTAGGTCACGTGAGATCAAACGGCTACTCGACAACAAAGATATTTGTCGACAAATTTTTATTGTCGACGTTGTCGACTAATCGTTGCAGCCCTAATTGTATTTCATCGGCTCTGTAGGTAAAGACAAGACCTCCAATGATTCCACACTCATTCACGGCATCATCAAGCTATGCCTTTGTTTTGAATAAGCGACTTCTAGTGGCGAAACTTACATACTGTGCCTTTAATAAAGAATTGGGAATAAACACCAACCTCTTTGTTCTTCAGTGTGTTTCATTCTGCAGTGTTCTGGATCTCTCATGTTCTCACTGTCCTTCAATAAACTGTGTTTGCAGATTTCAGCTCTTCCTGATGGTTTGATGCTCGTCTTCACTTGTAGCTGATGGGAATATTCCAGCATTTATTGGAGAATTGCAGTGGGAGGAGCTTCACTGAAGGAGGAGGGGCTTTACTGAAGGAGGAGGAGCTTCACTTGAGGGGAGGAGCTTCACTGGAGGAGGAGGGGCTTCACTGAAGGAGGAGAAGCAGATCTGACAAAATTAAGAAGAAATCACTTACTGAGTTTGTTTTTAAACAAATTTACACATTTTAAATGTTTATGTTCACCCTATCTATCTTGTAAAGTAACTTTTAAGTAAATTAATCTCAAAGGTCCGATTTCACAGACAGGTCTTGGATTAAGCCAGGAATAGGCCTTTGTTCAATTAGGGCATTTAAGTACCGTATTTTCCGCACTATACGGCGCACCGGATTATAAGGCGCACCTTCAATGAATGACCTATTTTAGAACATTTTTCATATATAGGGCGCATCGGATTATAAGGCGCATAAGATACTGCAGTCAAACGTTTGACTGGGTTTGCGTTATCCACTAGATGTCAACAAATGTCAACAAAACAGTCAGATAAAGTCAAACTTTATTAAGCGTTCTGACAACTCCGTTCACTCCCATGGTAACGTTGTTCAAACGTTAAAGGAAAACTCCGGTCAATTTTAACATTGAGCTCATTTTTTGTAAATTTGGAGTGCTGTCAGTACAGATAACAACGACAAAAACCAGTGTTGCCTACACCGTGTTATCCTCTTTTTAAAATTTGCACCCTGTTGACTTAAATGGGACAAGTTTTAAACCTGCTTTTAGCCTCTTAACAACCTTAATGTGTCATTACAAGTGCACAGCCATGTGAGTGAACACGGTGAATCTGACTGCAGTAAATGTGAAAGATATTAATAAAAATGATGTTTATTCAGCCAGCTCACATACCCGTATTTTCTTCCTGTTTTCGGTCGAAGTCCACAGTAGGCGATTGTCGAGTGCGCGCGCGATCATTGGTAACTAAGCAACAGTGGAGACTCAGACTGTCAGCTGTCAGCCGATGACGGTGCTGTGTGGTGTTCTGAGAATATCAGCTCAAATGGATAGTTCATCCGGATCAGATGTTGAACACACGGAGGAGGTTTGATCGCGCGCGCGCGAACTCGACAATCAACTACTGTGGACTTCGGCCGAAAACAGGAAGTAAATACGGGTATGTGAGCTGGCTGAATAAAGAGATTATTCCTGCCTTCGTGAAAGCTCGGATCACAGTTAAGACTGATATATCAGCCCAGGCATCCACGATCCATTGGCAGATAGTGGCGTTAGTCGCCCGGCGCTGTCTCCCCGGCTTGGTGAACGTGTGTTCACCATCCATATATAAGGCGCTCCGGATTATAAGGCGCACTGTCGTTTTTTGAGAAAATTAAAGGCTTTTAAGTGCGCCTTATAGTGCGGAAAATACGGTAGCTTTTGGGCTAGGGGTGTAACGATACCCTCATGTTAGGGTTCGATATATCACGATACTGAACTAACGATATGATATTATTGCGATACTGCAAGACATATGGTAAAAGGTTAACAAAGAAATTACTGTTGATTAAAATGCTAAATTTGGTATTACATTGGGAGTGGAAATGAAAAGGTTTGGACTTGGCGCTGGAAACCCAATGCACAGGACAATAGACACCGGAATAAAAAAAAATCATGATTCTGAAGCTGAAATATGCTTGCAATTTTATTGGTAACATAGGACATTTAACATTATCAGGACTGACAAATATTCCCTCATTGCTTTATTATACTCAACATAATATAGTAGTTTAATGCAGTACTGACACTAAAACTCTATAAACTTGAATTTTTTTGCACAGTAATTTTCATTTTGGGTGAACTACACTCAAAACCGATTGTTACAATCCACGATACATAGTCGCATTTTTTATTGCAATTTGTGACAAAAAGCGCAATGCCCTGAACACACACTATTTTGAATACCGCATTGGAGCGGTATTCGAGGCTAAGCGTATCCCATCATGCGTTAGGTGCGGGAACTCACATGCCCCGAAATCACAAGATGACGAGGAAAACATTCCACTGTAAGTTAAATTAATTAGATATTACATGTAATTTGGAAGAAAAACACATTGTTAAAGTGTCATTATAATGGTGCAAAGATGAGTATGGTATGTGTATTTTGTACATTTGAAACTGCTTTTTAAATCACTTAAAGGTGCTCTATGTAGCTTTTCTTCTAAAATGAATCCTTTTTTTGTTGCCTGTGTGTGAAGGGGTTGTAATCACACATTACAATGATCCACTCTTCGGGTTTTGCTATTACCTCTGAAGGCCAATATTCATATTTATATGTGAAGTCTCCGGGTCGGATTTACCGCGAAATCCAACGGATGTGACGTGCATGCTCTCTCTTTATATACAGTCTATGCGACGGCACTGCAGCTAACACCCCAAAACGACCTGCCTCCAGCACAACACAAACTCCACAAATATATAAAAAACAAAAAAAAAGTTTTATCTGCTGAAGCTCGTCAGGCCAAACGTGATTCTGATCGACTCAAGACGAAAACACGGATCAACATCGGCAGAGCTTTTGAATTATTAGTAAACTCTAATGAAATAGCAAGGTAAACTAAATGAGACATGAAATGAATACAAAAGACTGTTCCAGGATAAGAAAAAGTAGGTGCTTTAGGATGTATACTTGTTTTATGTACTAGATCTACTGTCTAACGTTACTCATCCCACTACTATCATATTATTTATAATAAACATTTCCAGACACGTTCAGTACAGTAATGCTACTTCCTCTGTCTTACTGTTACACTGACATTGTTCAGTCTAGTTCACCGTTTTCGTTATCATATTATACATTCACCTATGTTGACATTGCTGATTGTGAAAATACATGAATAGTGAAATGCCTTATGCTAGATAACACCACATGTCGGCTAAATGCGGTCAATGTAACGTTATCATGGTACGAGCATGGACCATTAGTTCAACGTCAAGCTGATAAAAGTAGCCTATTATTGTAACGTTGCAGTGGGAGTTTACATGAGTTTCCAGCATGTTGTGTGATGCTTTCGCCGTTGCATTGAAAGTCTCCGTGTGGCCGGTAGTGAATGCTCGCTCTTGAGATCGCACACGCACACGAGCGCTCTTGTTGCAATCTGAAACATCACCGCTAGAGGCCGCTAAAAAATACATAGAGCACCTTTAATTAAAAGCACCATATTTTTCAATTATGCCTTTTGTTACATAGGGACTACTAACTAACCAGACATTGTTTGGTAAAATAAAGCTCTGTAAACACTTACATTTTTGTATCACTATAAGTGTGTCCCATTGGGTAATCAAAAGTTCTCGAGTCTTCACGCCTACTTGAACACTTGGGCCAAATGCAGAAAATACCTACATCGTGCAAGTAGACAAGTGCAAAGACCGCAAGTGTGGGTATTTGTAAAGGCCCTTTAAAAACATGCCTTGGAAAAAAAAAAAACATTACTGATGTGCATCTTGAGATAAAACAATGGCACTCACATATTTTAAGATGTCAGTTCAAGTCGCTTTCAGTTAAAACAGCTCAATAATGCATTTTAGTCTAGGACTAGGCTTATGCTATTTCTGTTAAACCGGGGGAAAGTGTTTTTATGAATTCACAAATTATACCTTTTTTATTTTTCAGAAATTTCATCCTCATACTTTATTCCTAGGATCTTACCTCTCATTAACATATTGGCAAATAATTATAGAAAAAAAATACATAATACAGATACCAAATATAAATAATAATTTTTAAAAAGAAAATAAACTTAGGTAATTTGTTTCTCTGAGTCTGACTTTACTTGTTTTATATGGAACATGGTTTATCAAAGATTAATTAAATGCTGTTATGAAACTTACCTAGATCTAGTAGATGTCACGAGTTGATCGTGTCGTTTGCTCAAGTCTGTTGACACCAATAAAATGAGCTTAATGTGGCAATTTACAGACCTGAAGACATCAGCATAATGAATGAGGTGAAAACAGGATCTATTGACATGAAATAAAGAGGCTTTTCAGCTGCTCTGATAATAGTGATGATCCGTAGACAATCAACACTCATTCGACAAGCCATTCAGGATCAGCAGCAGATCATCTCACTTTATAAGTATTTGCTGCAAGAAACAGATTGTTACGGTCTGTATACTGAAAGAATAAAACTGCTCTAATATTAAAATATTATTTCTCAAATGATACAGTAAAATTGCAGGAATATAAAGACTAATGAAAGCCATCTTTATCAAACATTGTAATTCGCCGAAATGAATATATAGTTAATTTTCTAATAACTACATTCACAACAAAGCCGTTCGCTAGCATCTTACCGTTTTGTATGTGAGTAACATACATATCTTATTTAAATGTTTTAGTTAGCAGACACACGAATAGCGCTGAACATGATGGAAGCCATTTAGAAATGAGCGGCGTAAAATGTTTTTTTAAACTGTGTAAAGAGTATTAAACAATTACTTGATAGCGTGTACGCTGTTTACCTCAGAAGAATCGAATGAAGGGAGCGCGCGAATGATGACGTAATCACACCGAGACGAGATCAACGGTAGATTATTAAAACACACCAAAAACTGTATAAAATATCTCTATATAAAAAATAAAAACAAAAATAAGGGTAAACCAGTTACTGATGTAGACAGACAGCCATCTTATCCAAACTCAGCCATATGTGGGGTGAAAGATGTTATAGGCATTTAAAAGCTTTATCGAGAAAAATAAAACCACCAAGCCAATTATCTATTCTTGATGCAAGAAGAATAAATAGACCATAGATAAATGGACAATAAAAGTTAACTGGTGGAGCAAATACAAAATGTAATTAAATTAGGCGATCTATAAACAATTACTTGTTTATAGTTGTGTATGGTCAGCTTATGGCTTTTTTACAATCAAATAACATTTTACACCCTTTACAATTTGGCTTCTGTCCTCAATACTCCACCGAAACGGCAAACTGCTTCTTTGTGGAACAACTCAAATCTGCAATAGATAGTGGAGAAATTGTTGGCGCCGTCTTTTTGGATCTCAAAAAGGCGTTTGATACGCTAAATCATGACATCCTTATTCAAAAATTGTCCAATTTTAACTTCACAACATTAACTTTACAGTGGTTCAAATCATATCTTGAATCGAGAGATCAGTGTGTGGTGGTCAATAATGAAATGTCTACATTTTTAAAAATTAATACAGGAGTACCGCAAGGGTCCATTCTTGGGCCCTTGCTTTTTACACTGTACATTAATGATCTGCCAGACTCATGTCCTACAGCAGGATTTCAGATGTACGCTGACGATGCAGTGGTTTATGTGCGAGGAAGAAGTGTGCATGCAGTTTCTGATGAACTGGCAAAATACCTGCAAAATGTGGCGGTGTGGTTTCAAAATGCAGGTCTGACTTTGAATGTTAAAAAGACTATGTCTGTTTGCTTTGCCTCAAGATTCAAGTCCATATCAGAAGAACTAAATTTACGGATAAATGGGCATAAGATCCAGCAGGTCTCAGAGGTTAAATACCTGGGCCTTGTACTTGACTCTCAACTTAAATTTGAAAATCATATTAATAAAATCTGTCGAGTAGCCAAAGCAAATCTTTATACATTCAGACTAATCAGGGACTATCTACCGTTTCATGCTCCTCACACTTTTATGCACGCCATGATCTTCTCGCATCTGAGTTACTGCATCTGCTCATGGTCACAGGCTACGGTTACTACAGTTAAGCCACTTCAAATGATTTATAATAGAGCGGTTAAAATTTTAGATAGGAAGCCCATTAGGGCACATCATTGTGTTAGTCTGAGGAATTTGAATATTTTATCTTTTGAAAATTTCATTAAATTTTCTATGTTGAAGCTGATGTATAAATGTTTAAATCAGCAAGCTCCACAGGTCTTGAGTGAGTGCATAGTTGCTCTCAGGGATGTGGGTTCAAGGACTAGAGGAGCTTAGAACGGGAATTGTCAAATCCCGAAATGTAATACCTCATTTGGACAATCAGCTTTTTCTGTACAAGGCACTAAAGCCTGGAATTGTTTACCCACTGACCTGAAAGGAGAGACAAACTGGGTCCTTTTCAAAAACAACCTTAAAGACTCTTTAATCAGAGGTCAGAAATGTGACCACTGACTGTCCGCTGCGTTTATATTGTGTTATATTGTATTATTATGTTTATTTTAACTATGTATTGTGTAATTTTATGTAAAGGCCCACTAGGGACTAACATTGAGAATTAGCCTTGGCTAAAATGTTGTAGTATGGAACATGAGCTTATGTAACATACTTGTCCCTATTCAAATGAACTTAAATAAAATAAAAAATAAAATAAACAGTTTAATAAAACAGTTTGAACCTGTAAAAAAAGTATTTTCCTTCATAAAGAAACAAATTACATGTGATACATGCATCATAAAAAATAACAATGTTTAACTTATAATAAAGAATAATGATATTTATTTATACCACAAAGCAAAATGATATTCAAGAATAAGAAGTCTAGATGGTCTTTAGGGAGGAACTCCATCTTTGAGTTGATGTGAATCTCACAGTTGAAACCACTGGTCTTGAAGATGAACTTTATTCACTGTGACAAATAAGGTCATGTGTCTTTGTCCTGTCGCCCGTTGGCTGGTTAGGGCAGATTTATACTAAAGAGATTTTATTGCTTGATGGTGTTATTGTCTCACGTTTGGTGAGGACACAGCATTAGACCTGAAAGTGCTGGATCTGAAGATGATCTACTTGCGGTGATTGTATTTTATATGACTGCGTAGAGAAGATAATTGAGTGAAACTCTTCCCACAAGGAGTGCAGTGATACGGTTTCTCTCCAGTGTGGATCCTCTCGTGTGTTTCCACATGTCCTGACCGACGAAATCTCTTGTCGCAGTGTGAACACTTGTAAGGTTTCTCTCCAGTGTGAGTCCTCCAGTGTAGTTTCAAACTTATAGCGGTAATAAAACTCTTCCCACACTCAAAGCACTTATGATCTCTTACACCAGTATGTATTTTCTGATGAAATTTTAAACTCTGCAGACGTGAAAAACTCTTTCCACACAAAGAACATGAATGTGGTTTCTCCTGTGAATGAACTAACATGTGGGTCGATAGGCCTGTAGCCCTCGAAAATATTTTGCCACATTGATCACATTCGTATGGTTTCTCTCCAGTGTGGATGTTCATGTGTTCCTGAAGGTTTGATGATTCTGTAAAACTCTTCCCACACTGATCACATATGAACGGTTTCTCTCCAGTGTGGACTCTCGTGTGAACCTCGAGACTTCGTTTGTATTTAAAACTCTTCCCACACAAAGAACATAAATATGGTTTCTCCTGTGAATGAACTCTGAGGTGGCTCTTTAGGGATGAAGCACATAAAAATGTTTTGCCACATTGATCACATTCATACAGTTTCTCACCAGTGTGGATGATCATGTGTTCCTGAAGGGCTTCTTGTCGTGTGAAACTACTCAGACACTGATGGCAGATGAAATATTTCTTGTCTATTAATTTCAAAGAAATACTTTCAGTCTGTGAGGAAGTTTTTTCTTCAGTTTTGACATGATGTTTCTCCTCTCCAATCTCCTCATTTTCCTCCATCGGGCCTGAAATGAAAATAAAAATAAAAAATTTAATACATTTTTATGAATTGATTTACACAAATGAAATGAAGTATATTGAAGGCTGATGGGAATATTCGATCATTTACTTGTCAACTGATGTGAGCATTAGGAAAATAATAATTCAGTTAAAAACATGGGAAGTGGCAGCGCATTTCATTCATATGTTTACATTATTGTGCATATTTGCACTGTAAACTTTGGGCATTATAGTTATTCTGAAGTAACAGAGAATTTTGGGTCTCTGTGGTAAAAAGAAAACGTTTGAGTTCAGACCGTCAGAATATACCCTTAAATATTATTTAAATCATCAATTATAAAAGATTATAGTATTACATATTACATCTGACACGAACATACAAACTACAACAATGTGACACCCATTTTTAGAGTTCGGTTTTTCTGATTCCTGTCATTAATCGTATAACTGATTATATCCATCATTAATTTATTGCCACATTATTATACCAAGAAAGCATAAATGTTTCTATCCTCATGAAATTCCCTCTCAGATCGAAACTTAAAGTTTGAGATCACATACATTCAATAACACTAACATAATTACTCTAAAAATGAGTGAATGATTTCAACATTTTCCAAAGATGTTCGTTTCGTGCTGAATTAAATCAGTCTACAGACGCCAGAAAAGACGCACATTTGGCGCTTTATCCGATTACAACACTTCAGAAATAACCCTGTAAATGTTGCTGAAACATCTATGTAAAGTGTATTTTATGGGTGTGTAAATACGCGAAATATCTGACCTGCAGAAATCACCTCAGAAAACACAACAAACGCGCTGAACGAGGAAGGAAACTACTGATGACGTCAGCGCGGTGATGCGAGATAAACGCGCCCATTCTTACAAAAGAACAATTCATACAAAAATAACATTTATAACATACACTAAAATAACTCCAAAAGTTAAAGTAAACAATAATTCAGTCTCAGTCGTGTGTAGGGTGAAAAACAATCTATTACACAGTTTATTCTCCAGCATCACATCTGAATAGTATTAGTCTAACTACATTTTAATTAATCCTTAAAAAGTGCAAGTAGACAATGGCTACATAAAAATAATCATTTTAATCCATAGTAAAATTGACAGCATTCATCAACCCTGTTACCAAAGTTATAAGAATAATAATAATAAAAAAGTGTATCAGAAACTATAAAAGAGATTTTGATTGATTTATGCTAAAAATCTGCCATTCTCAATATTATTTAATTTTGGTGTTTTTAAAGTTCATTGATAAAAATAAATAAATAGATAGATAAAATAAATAAATATGTAAAATATAAGACCTTAAGATCATATTCAGTTTGGTCTCCTGATGTTAATAATCAATGTGAATGTTTATCAAATCTCGTTTCATTGACCATTTGATCATCCCGGACATTTTGGGCGATCTAGAAATCGCGGCTGGACGCATTTTTTAGGTCCAAAAAGAGGACGTGTGGTCACCCTACCTTGTCGACAGAAAATGAATCATTGTTATACTCAACACTGTTAGTATTATCATTTAAATCTCTTGTTTTTCCCACGAGTACCATGTTATTAACATGCCTCAGAGACAACATGTCAAGTAACTAACATAGCAAAACCGGAAAGAGCTTTATTTTTAGTAACACTAATACAGCATTTTCTCTATCATACAATGTTTTAAAATAATTGCGTGACATTTAATGATACTCTAATATCGATCTAGCTTACAGCACTGCTACCGAGCGAATGCACAGTAACGACGTAACATAAGTTTCAACACACTCAAATGTATTTAGCATGATTGTTTTAACCATGTAAAAAAGCGCAGTGTTACCCAATGCATGAACGAAAGAAGCGGCTGATAAGCATAATAAAAGCTCCGCTGCTCTCAACGGAACGTGAAACCCGGTGTGTTGATTTGTATTTCATTGTTATTGAGATAATAGTGAATTAGATCATGGAATACTTAGTGAATTTGGCCAATTTTAATTATCATTCCTCCTTACCTTCAGGCGCTATAGTTCAACTTGGTCAGTCAGCTTAGTTCTGGTTCCCAAAACCCCCCAATATCTTATTCTCCACTGTTGCATCTTCATGGATGAGACATGCAGATAACTACATACTGAAGTTCAAAGATTATTCAACTGTCACTGAATTTTATGTAAACAATTAACTCTTTAACAATTCTGAGTTTGTCTGGTTCAAAAACTTGCAACCAAAAAAGTAATCAGGGAATGTTTAACTTTTTATAGCTGTCAAAATAATTAATTGGAACAGTTCAATACCTAAATTGAACTCAGTATGTAGTACTTCTGAAGAAGAAGTACAAGAAGATTAAAGAAGAATCAAATGTTTATTTGTCTTTTTCACCAGACAAAAAAAATAACAATGAAAGTTAACTTATGAAAATACCAAGTGTAAACAAATGTGACATCTCTCTACAAAAGAAAAATAACAAAAACAATTTGAAAATATTTTCCTTCATAAAAGTATAAACAAACATTTTGCATAACATTTAACTCATAATAAAGTATATTGATATTTATATATACCATGAAGCAAAATTATATACAAGAATAATTCTCTCACAGTTGAAACTTCTGGTCTTGAAGATTAACTTTATTCACGGTTACAAATTTAGATGTTTCTTTGTCCTGTCGCTCGTTGGCTGGTTAGGACAGATTTGGAAGAGATTTTATTGCTTGATGGTATTATTATCTCACGTTTGGTGAGGACACAGCATTAGACCTGAAAGTGCTGGATCTGAAGATGATCTACTTGCGGTGATTGTATTTTATATGACTGCGTAGAGAAGATAATTGAGTGAAACTCTTCCCACAAGGAGTGCAGTGATACGGTTTCTCTCCAGTGTGGATCCTCTCGTGTGTTTTCACATGTTCTGAACGACGAAATCTCTTGTCGCAGTGTGAACACTTGTAAGGTTTCTCTCCAGTGTGAGTCCTCCAGTGTTGTTTCAAACGTATACCGGTAATAAAACTCTTCCCACACTCAAAGCACTTATGAGCTTTTTCACCAGTATGTATTTTCTGATGAAATTTTAAACTCTGCAGACGTGGAAATCTTTTTCCACACAAAGAACATGAATGTGGTTTCTCCTGTGAATGAACTAACATGTGGCTCTTCAGGCCTGTGGACCTCGAAAATATTCTGCCACATTGATCACATTCATATTTTTTTTCTCCAGTGTGGATGTTCATGTGATTCTGAAGGTTTGATGATTGTCTAAAACTCTTCCCACACTGATCACATATGAACGGTTTCTCTCCAGTGTGGACTCTCGTGTGAACCTCGAGACTTTGTTTGCATGTAAAACTCTTCCCACACAAAGAACATAAATGTGGTTTCTCCTGTGAATGAACTCTGAGGTGGCTCTTTAGGGATGAAGCACTCAAAAATGTTTTGCCACATTGATCACATTCATGCACTTTATCAATAGTGTGGATGATCATGTGTTCCTGAAGGTCTTCTTGTCGTGTGAAACTACTCAGACACTGATGGCAGATGAAATATTTCTTGTCTCTTGTTTTCAAAGAAATACTTTCAGTCTGTGAGGGAGTTTTTTCTTCAGTTTTGACATGATGTTTCTCCTCTCCAATCTCCTCATTTTCCTCCATCGTGCCTGAAATGAAAATAAAAATCATAATTTTAATACATTTTAATGAATTGATTTCCACAAATGAGGTATATTGAAGGATGATGGGAATATTCTATCATTTATTGTGAACTGATGTGAGCATTAGGAAAAGAATAATTCAGTTAAAAAACGTGGGAAGCGGCAGAGCATTTCATTCGTATGTTTACATTATTGTGCATATTTGCACTGTAAATTTTGTGCATTAGCCTATAGTTATTCTGTAGTAATTGTAGTAAAAAGAAAACGTTTGAGTTCAGACCGTCAGAATATACCCTTAAATATTATAAATCATCTATTATAAAAGATTATAGTATTACAGATCACATCTGACACAAACATTACAAACTACAACAATATGACACCCATTTTTAGAGTTTGTTTTTTCTGATTCCTGTCATTAACCGTACATAACTTATTATATCCATTTTTTTATTTATTGCCACAAATAGACATAAGTGATGGCTGCAAGATGATCAATGATGTCATCCTCACTCTGGACTTTAATTATTTCTGGCACTGGTTGGGATTCTATTGGCTCTGGGTCCAGAGTGTCATGCACAGTGTCCTCCATGCTGATGACTTGAAGAGCATCCTGACGTAATTTTTGTCGAATGGCACCACGAGTCCTGATGGAATACAAAAAAAACAATAGTCAAATAAAATAATTTTCATTAAAGACAAACATTAGTTAGGAACTTACCGAGCATATAAAGGTGGGATGTAATCCTCATCATCACTATCATCATAGTTACTGCCCTCCTCTATGGTTTCCTCTTCCTCTGATGTTGAAACATCTCTTGTGCTCTCATGTGGAGACCATGTCCTGTCCTCAGCCCAGTCAATACTATGTAGATGGCTTAAAATATTAGTCAATGACACTCAACACGTCAAATATCAGATTAAATATGTAAAAAAAAAAACTACTACTTAAGGCCTGTTCACACCGGGACGAATTTCGCGCGCGATATTCGCAGACGTTTAACGCCTCGTGACTAAACAAAGGGCGCCAATGTGAGCACACATACGTAACGGCGAAGAAGATATAAGCCAAGTAGTGTCTACACACTGCCGGGAAGAAGACGAGGAAGATGCAAGCCAAGATAAACGTAGAGCTGCTGGTCACGGAACATAAGGAACTGTATGACAAACGCGACTACAAAAATATTGATAAAAGAGAACTATTATGGAGTGGTATTGCAGAGCAAATGGGCCTTTATGGTGAGTTTCATTTCACTTAATTGTCTTTCATGTACAGGTCCTTCTAAAAAAATTAGCATATTGTGATAAAGTTCATTATTTTCCATAATGTAATGATAAAAATTAAACTTTCATATATTTTAGATTCATTGCACTGCACACCAACTGAAATATTTCAGGTCTTTTATTGTTTTAATACTGATGATTTTGGCATACAGCTCATGAAAACCCAAAATTCCTGTCTCAAAAAATTAGCATATTTCATCCGACCAATAAAAGTGTTTTTAATAAAAAAAATAAAAAAAAGTCAACCTTCAAATAATTATGTTCAGTTATGCACTCAATAGTCAATACTTGGTCGGGAATCCTTTTGCAGAAATGACTGCTTCAATGTGGCGTGGCATGGAGGCAATCAGCCTGTGGCACTGCTGAGGTGTTATGGAGGCCCAGGATGCTTCGATAGCGGCCTTAAGCTCATCCAGAGTGTTGGGTCTTGCGTCTCTCAACTTTCTCTTCACAATATCCCACAGATTCTCTATGGGGTTCAGGTCAGGAGAGCTGGTAGGCCAATTGAGCACAGTAATACCATGGTCAGTAAACCATTTACCAGTGGTTTTGGCACTGTGAGCAGGTGCCAGGTCGTGCTGAAAAATGAAATCTTCATCTCCATAAATCTTTTCAGCAGATGGAAGCATGAAGTGCTCCAAAATCTCCTGATAGCTAGCTGCATTGACCCTGCCCTTGATAAAACACAGTGCACCAACACCAGCAGCTGACATGGCACCCCAGACCATCACTGACTGTGGGTACTTGACACTGGACTTCAGGCATTTTGGCATTTCCTTCTCCCCAGTCTTCCTCCAGACTCTGGCACCTTGATTTCCGAATGACATGCAAAACTGAGCAACAGTCCAGTGCTGCTTCTCTGTAGCCCAGGTCAGGCGCTTCTGCCGCTGTTTCTGGTTCAAAAGTGGCTTGACCTGGGGAATGCGGCACCTTAGCCCATTTCCTGCACACGCCTGTGCACGGTGGCTCTGGATGTTTCTACTCCAGACTCAGTCCACTGCTTCCGCAGGTCCCCCAAGGT